GAAGAAAGGGATTCTTGGAGATGTCTCATCCACAGGGTTGCCATGAGTCGGAATTGACTCAAGGGCAACTAACAACAACAAGCCATGGTAGTTACCGTGGAATCATGGTCATGGCATTGTATGTGTATTCCTGCATGACAGGGGGTTGGACTGGATGGCCCTTGTGGTCTTTTCCAACTCTATGATTCTAGGATTATAGAACTAAAGCCATTGGCACTGAAGCATTGCTGGCAGTCTTAAACTCTGCCTGGGCTGGCCAAGTGTCAAGATCAGCACCAGAGATAGGCAAAGTTGTTGGGGGGACCAAACTAGCAGAGGGCTCACTGCCCTGTCAGTGCATACTTTGCACAAAGTATCCAAGAAAGACAGTTTCAGCCAGAGAGAGATCAGTCCCGCACAGATGAAATGAGCTCCTCTACAGCCTAGAGGCAACACTGCTAGATGTATTTTGTCGTTGGATAAAGCACTCTAGTCATGCCCAGGGGTGTTTTGTCCCATTCCATTTTATTTTATTTTATTTTATTTTATTTTATTTTATTTTATTTTATTTCCTCCTGTAATCTATGGCTCTACTTTACCCTTCCAACAGGTTGTGGGAATTTAAGGGAGCTGAGCCCTGGACCAACACAAGCCTCCAACTGCCCTCTAGTGGTATAAAGCAAGTGGAATGACTGGAACTAGGGAAACAAACCAAATGACACTTGGAAAATAACCTTCCCTGTTGTGAGAAGCTACATTTTAAGAAAAAAGCAGTTTCCGGGACATATACTGTAGGACAGAGGACAGGACCAGGGAGGTCTTTAGCGTGGATATTGCACAGAATATTTTAAGGATGCAGTGTTCCAGCGGGGTATAAATACTCCATACTACTATTCCTAATAATAATATGCTATGCCAGGTTAGATGCATTGGAAAGGCTGGTTTTGCAGGATGTGGCTTGTTGTTACCTATAATGCATATTGGAGAAGTTTTTTGATTTTATCAGTGGGAGATGATAAGATTAATGAAGACATTCTCTTTCTGTTCAATAGGGCTACATTGCAAAACCATCTCCCTGGCATTCAGGCTCCTAACCAACTGTGTACAATAAACAATATTGACTCTAGTTGTTTAAGTATTTCACACTGTATATTTGCTTGTATGGAGCGCGATCAGTGTTAATATTTATTTTACTATTTGCATTTTCTCTTGATAGTTCACTGTAGGATGAAATGTGTTCGGAATTTCTTCTTCATCATCATCATCATCAGCTGATTCTAATGGAGTCTTGCCTAGAGTAAACACAATGAGATGAATGCGATTTGATAGTGACTAACTTCAGTCTCACGTACTCTAATAGGTATGCCCCAAGTGGACAAAATGTTGAATTTTAAATCCAACAATAATAACAAAATTTTATTTAACAGGTTGTTGTTTTTTGTCGTAATTTCCTGTTAAGAATCATAGAATCATAGAGTTGAAAGAGACCACAAGGGCCATCCAGTCCAACCCCCTGCCATGCAGGAACTCCCAATCAAAGCATCCCTGACAGATGGCCATCCAGCCTCTGCTTAAAGACCTCCAGGGAAGGAGACTCCACTACTCTCCTACTACTCTAAGGTCACATGCCAGGTGTCCAATAAGAAAATCCAAATGCTATAATAAAACACAAATAATAGAACACTCAAAATGTTTAAATTGTGCTTAA